CCTGCCGCATCACACCAATTCCACCTCCCCCTGAAGCTGTGTCCTCAGGGACAGGGTGCCATGGGAGGAGAGGGTGGGGCGATGGTGGGAAGGGGTGGATTTGGGGGACCGGTAACAAACAGCCTCCCCCTCCCCCATCAGGAGTCCCAGGCCAAATTGTGCAATCGCTCCAGCGGGGATTGCCCACGGGCTGGGAGCTTGAGACTCCCATTAAAAAGAGTTAATTTGTTTTGGCTTTTATAACTTTTCTCCATGGCCATAAAATACGCTCTGATTATGGTTTAATGGCTGTGTGTTTCCAGGGAAAGTCTTGTGGTGAAATTTCCCTGTGTAATATTTCCTGCTGGCAATCAGCAATTGCCAGGATACTGAAACAAAGGTGTCAAAAAACCTAGCATCTCCTTTAACTGAAACAGTCCCAGGCATGCGCCACAGAGCAGAGCAACTAACAGCAAACAGGCCACACTATATAGTGCTTTACAGCCCACGCCTGTCAGACATACGATTCCCACACAGGGCGGCCACTGGACTTTGCTGGGTCCTGGGCAACATGGTGCTTTGGTGGAAGGGGAGGGGCTTGGGGCTAGCCTCCTCCAGCCAGGCCTTCAGTATTGCTGGGTGTGCACTGCTTGGGACTCCGGCGGTGATTTAAAAGGGCCTGGGACTGCTCCCAGTTCTGTTACAGTGGCTGCAGCCATGGGCCCTTTTAAATGGACAGGTCCCAGGGCAACTGCCCCGTGCTCCCCCCAAGTCAGCGGGCCTGTTCCCGCAAATTCCAGTGGGTTTTAGGTCAGGACTTACACGTCCAACCCCCTTTACAATCATGAATACAAACTGATCCTCAAAATAACCTCTATGAGGTAAATGGGGAGCTACCAGTCTCCCCCTTTTACAGATGGAGGCTCTGGGGTTCAGTAGCCTGTGGCCATATGGTGCACCGGTAGCAGAGCTGGGAACTAGAAATCCAAACCCTGCCTCTGCTCTCATCAGCTCCCATCTCCCCACTTTCCTTTACCTTCAGCAGGTTGAGGATTTTCTTGCTCAGATCCAGCTCGAAGTTGGTATAGTGGGAGCCAGCCATGTCGTAGATGAACACCAAGCCGTTCCTCTGCGTTTCAAAGCTGGGTACATTGGGGGAGGGAGGGTGGAGACAAAGAATTACCTGCTGCATGGAGATGTGGAACTATGGGGCACGGAGACCCTCAAAACACCGATCCAGCCTCTTCTCCAAAAAAGGACTTTAACTCCTTATGTACCAC